ACCGCAAAATTCGCATTTGACACAATTCTTGTCATACGCGAAGATGCCAATGATGACGTATTGTTGACACTTGATGTAGATTCTTCTTGTTTATTGTCTCCCATCTTTGACACGAATATTATTTAATAGCTGACGACACAAATCAAGATTATTTCCTTTCTGGTGTGGAAGATCAGACTAAGCTGCAACCACAAAGCATACTAAGACAGAACCTTGACCCAGTACCAAGATAAATCTTTTCTGATGTGGAAGATCAGACTATACTGCAACCACAGAGCATACTTAGACAGTACCTTGGCTCTGATACCAATTGTTGCGGAAGCCAAATGTATATAGTGTGAATAAGTCACAACTACTATACCAAAAATTATGACAGCCACCAAATAATAAATAAGATAATAAAGCAATAATAAAATAAACACCAGAATTTACGAGGTTCAGCCAATTTTGCCTACTCCTCAGACACAACCAATATTTTATTCCACTCCAAAAATACAAGTGAAATAATACTAAAGAGATAAGATACAAATGCCTTAAGAAAATAAAAGGGCAAATGAGAGGTGTGTTTAAATCCTAAACATTAGGCCTCCTTTTATAGGGAAAAAATCCCAACCAATTTGATCTTCCACCGATGTGGGAGTTTTGGCATTCAACAGTAACAACTAAAATAAGGAGACTGGTATGATCAAATAGAAATTATAGCTCCTTAACTTTAATTGGTATTCTGTAGCTGTCCGATAGAACATATTACTAAAAGTGATAAACTTACATACGAATCAAATGGAACATATAGAGGTAAGCAAAGAAATTTAAATCAAATATTCTTAAAAAAGGGGATAAGATTCACAACTATTCTTCTAGATCTTATCATGCATCTTCTACTTTCCAGGTGGAAAAAAGATTCTCTCATAAGAAGGGTACACCGATGAATGCCTCATTGGCTTCGACCTTGCCACCTTTTGTCAAAGTTTATACTAAAAAAAAAATTGACATCAAATATTAAGAACAAAACACACATTTGCAGAATTAGTTGAAATTAATTTGATCAAAATATCAAAGCTTTTTTGTCAACAAAAACAACAACAACCGGGTGGGATGTGGTGTCTGGGGAGGGTAGGATGGTCAACTATTTTTGTCAACAACACATTATAGTTGTATTCATTGTAAAATAATTCTTGATAGCTGCTCAAGATGGAAGACCAATCTCACGTCATAGAATGAGTCATAGTTTCCAATTTCAACCTGTAGAAGAAAACTTTTTCTTGATGATGAATTACAAAAAGGAACTTGTTAACTCTTAATGAAGCAGTATTTGAGGTTATGTAGTTTGTATTCATAGTGCTGAACTATTTTGTATTATGTTGTCTCTGAACTAAAATAGAAATAATTATGTGGAGAAGCTCACCCCAAAAACTAAAGCTTGCTTGAACAACAAGGACTAATGTCTATTTCTGGAGTTACTTNGAAACTAAAGCTTGCTTGAACAGCAAGCAGAACGACGAAGAGGCCCTTAACTCTCGCTTCTAAGGTAAACTAGATGATCTTGCCCATGCTTCGCATGGGCCCAACAATTTGCAGTCTAAAGTTCTCTTCATTTGTAGTAAAGATTATAACCACATGATCTTGCTTATGCTCTAACAATTTGAAGTCTAAAGTAATGGTCAATTCACTGCCAAATTTTCTCCTAAGTTGAAACTGCAATCTTGAAGCTTTGAAATAATTGAGGCAAAAATAGCACAAGTGTCTAGCCTTGTATACTGAACCATAAATGTAAACCAATACAACAGCAAATAGAAGATAAAAGAGGATACAACATGATTTGTTTTATTAATTTGATCATGTCTACAAAAATAGGGCTCTAGCTTTTGAATAAGATAAAGCAATCCTATTCTGTTTCCCAAGAATTCAAAATCTATCTCATCTCTCAACGTCGCTGCATCAACTTCCGAGCACATCTGCACCCAATGCAAATTAAAATCCCCATTACACCCATTTATATGTATTGATATTTTATTTTATGCACAAATTTTTGTAAGCTTACATAAAATGTTGTCACAACACCAGCAGAATCACAAATCACAATCTATATACCAAGAATGTGAATATTCAAATGTTAAGAAAAGAAAAAGAATGTAAGAAATAAAAACATTTGGGTTTTAATCACCTAATACTTGGTCTAAGGTGAGATAGCAGATATGTCCATGTGAGAAGTCTTGAAATGAGTACCAGTTTTCCTGAAGTTGTTTTCACCTCCCATGAGAGGGCACCAACAGGACAATAGCCAATTCCACACAGAAACTTCAATTGAAGAGCATTATATTCACCCGGTCCCTATCAATAGATGAGCAAAAGCAGAAAAGCATGTGACTTTTAGAAAGAATGGGGATATTAGAGAGTTCAGTCCGATTATATTATAACACTCTTACTTGCTGATGTCATCAAGGTGGTCATCGAGATCCAAACATACTTCAATTTGTCTGATGAGATGTAATCTAGAAGGGCCATATTTACTAATGGTTATATGGTCGAAACCAAACCTTGTTTTTAACAAAATTATTTGTTCAAGGGAAGAACAGAGAAAAATTCCTCGTTTAAACTAATGAAGAAATTATAACCCTCTCAAAAGTTAGAAAGCATGAGTATACAATTCTAACTTCTAACAGGGACACTTACCTTCATGGTTGTGTTGTTGAACTGATGGATATCTCGACTCCAAATGATAATTTATGTTGTGTCATAGATGAAACTGTTTAAGCACCTTTAGATTGGCGAGTTAGCATAATCATCTTGAGTAGCAAATACTGAAAGGAGGGATAAAACATAGGAAAAAAATCAAAAGTGGTGTGGATGGCATTGGAGCAATATGTCAGAAGAAACATAAATGAGAAAAATCCGCTACCAATAATGTGAGCAACAAAGGATATAATAGTAGGGCGGGGCAGAGCTAACTAATAACTCTAGACATCAGAGAAACCATAATTCATTTTTTCACAGGCTTTCTTATTTCACGAAGAACCAAGTAGTTTTCTACGTAGAAAATTATCGAATTGACCAAAANGTTATATTACTGATTTACTGGTAGTAGCCACTCTTTAGTTTACTCATGAATTTTTGTAAAGTAATTCTTCGAGCTTTAATTAATCCACTTCAGATTATTTCCTACTTCTGCCCTTCCTCTCCTTATTGCTTTTACTTTACTGAACGTGATGAATAGGCATTGCTTTATAATTCTCAGTCTTTCTTAAATGTTACTCAAAACAATTTCTAGAGATCAACGTCAAGAGAAATGTTAAGCACAAGAGCATTTTATTCAATTACAAATGATCTAAAAATAGAGCACTTTATTCAATTATATAAGAAGAAGTATCACAGAGTTCAAATGTAGCAACTTATCCAAAGAAAAGAATTATATGTGGAACAACTTACCCATCACTTCTAGTTTCTGAATCTGATATTTTAGTTGGTCAGGATCCTTCTTCAATATACCCACTTCTGTCACTTTCTTCCTCTCTTTCTTGTTCTGGGAAAGAGGTCGTCCTTAGTACCATCTCTCAATTTTCCTTCTGTCTCCAGTAGATGTCCCATAAGACTCAAAGCTTGTCTGTGCGTACATAAAAATGTAGAATATGCAAGTAAAAACGATAGGCTTCAAGGTTATGTCCACAAAGCATATAAGCAAAATAATTAATCTGAACCAATCTCTTTTCCTAATTTTCTGTCGTATCACATTATATATGGTATAAACATATAGCCATTGCTAGATAATAGATGTTTCCTATCAAAGAGTTAATCTCACAACTTCAGACGAATCCTATAATAAGGATGAAGTATATGAAGCCACTCAACATTTAAGACATTTAGAATGAGGATACATGAGCATATAGCTATAACAGTACAAGTGCAAGAAAAAGGTCAACTAACATAAACTTATAGCTACTTCTATTTCTCAAATTTCTCATCAGTAGTAAAATGTAAGAAAAATCACATGAACTGTTTTTAGGAAAAAAAACTCAATATTTAAGAAAGGGGGGGTTAAAGGCGACATTCAAATCAGGGGCTTCTTCAGGACACAATTAACTAAAGTTCCTTTTCAATTCCTGTTTGATACAATAATGCTTAAAAAGCTTTCACCACTTTTTTATTTTTCATTATTTCTTTCCAAGTAATATAATTCTATACTATTTATATGTGACAACAAAATTACCTAACCTGTTTCACAACAAAGCAATGAGCCCTCTTATAACAGGAGAATCCTGCTTCGTAAAAATACTTCTAGCCCTAGAAGATGATTCATTAGCTGAGTTACGAATAACTAAATTGTCAAGCAAACAACATTTTTTCAATTCAATTTAATTCAGCTCTGTAATTTCGTTTTCATGCAATTCTCTCAACTTTGAATTACTCTTTTCTTTTCCCTTTGTGACATGCAATTTCACAAACACATAACAGGCAAACTGAAAGTGAAGCTGCCAAAGAAAAACAATTAAAACCTAGCAAGCAATTGGTGATTCCTTAGACTTATTTAAACCCAGAAGCAACACAGGAAGAAAGAGAAATAATTACTTCCAAAATGCAGGGATCAAATCTTAAGAAGTAGAGTAAGAAAAAACCAAATAGAGAGACACAAATTGAGAAAGATGGAAATTTTTAAAAAGAAGAAATATGACCATCGGATATAGAAGAGACAGAGTCAAAGGAATCAGTAGAAAAACAGAAGAGAAATGCTCATTTTGTGACAGAATCGTGCACTCTATATGATTTTGTCGAGTGAATAAGCACATGACTTTGTTAAAGCTAATTTTGTGCACTTTAAATGATTTTCTCTCGACAAAATCAAGATTGTAGCTGTCTGAAATCAACCTGTGCTACACATAAGCGAAGTAAAATTAAAAATTCACCTTAATTACTGAAGCCAGTCTATATGAATATCCCACCTACAAGCTACAACTCAATAGAGAAGAATATTACCAAACCATGTAGCATGACCAGACAGTTCAAGAACAAAGCGAGTAAGTACCATAAAACAAATGATACCTATTTTGTTTTATAAGGTGAAATTTGGAGATGAATGACTTGTGAAAAACATAGAAATTTTCTCTAGAAAGATGCAGTCATTTGAAGACCAATGAAATATGGCAAGAAATTCAAAGCTATTTAACTTATGAGGTGCCAATGCAAGAAGTTCATCAGAAAGGCATAGATTATTTGACGGCTGGACAAAATCAGTGTTGTCTATCTTCGTTAGTTAGAGGTGCTTACGGAAAACTGATTTGCGATTCTACTACCATAATATAATCACCCACAAGAGAACATACTTGTTATTATTCACACCAAGGTTGAAGAGGGCTATGATTTCAATTTCTTGAGCAATCAAAATTAGCACAGACGTTTCAGGAGAAAGAGGAAACCTGAGGGTTGTTTAATTCCATAACAGCCCCCTGCAGCAGCTATGTAAATATTTTCAAAAGCTTATCCTTTGCTGCCAGACCAATTCGACAGTTGTGCATTAACTCGTGTATTATGACGCAACAAATAATACTGGGTCATTTAGTTTCTGTCAAATATATATGATGTCAATTATTTGTATGTATTCATAATAGTTGAATGAATATAATAAAGACATTAAAGAAGATTAATTGGACAACTTCCAGTAGTAAAACTAATCACATCATTGAAATATGCAAAGATATCCATATAAAATCAAATAATGAAACAATCTCTAAGGTAGAAAATGAAATTACTATATCAAAATTTGGTTAGTGTGACAGTACCTTTTAGTACCAACTTGTGAAAATATTTTACTTTAGAAGATCTTTTTAAAATACCTGCAACACAGATTATACGTGTTAGTAAGCAGTAAAGGAATATAAAGACATCAAAATAGAAGATGAATAAATTTTTAATTTATTTCTCATTTTGTTTCTTAAACGAACAACAAATTTTTTTCGCCAACATATTGAATAGTGATGTATAAAAGTTTATAAGAGGAAATCAGTAAGTACATTCAAATGAAGAAATAAGATACAATTGTTATTACCAATATACAATAGACCGTCCTCCTTTATCCGGGCTTGGGACCGGCTGTGTTACAATATAATTTGAACACAGGCGGAGTTAAAATATATATATATTTTTTATGTAAATGTCAGTCAGGTCAGCTTCACAGAGTTGGAAAAAAATCACATAAATATGCAAGTAGCTTTTGTATTTATAGATTTGTAAAGATGAATGCTTTGACTTATTGGTCTTGGAAAGTTTCTCAATGTAAATATTCTGATTTGTATATTGTGCATCCAAAAACTATATCAGATGAGTAAAAGTTTAGGAAGGATTTGCAGATACACAAGCCAACTCTTATTTAACACATAGTAAATTGCAGAGAAACTATCTCAAGTCTCAAGAAAATTATTGAAATAAAGAATATAAGGTTAAACCAGGAATATAAAACAGACTTATAGAAGTGCTTTTTGAATGATTTCGTCATACACTATGTTATATGTAGAATGGTCATCATCGTTATCTACGGTTGGTGGTCGGATTAATATTTTAATACAACTTGAACTCTTTGCTCTGGATAAAGCAACATATAGCTGGCCATGAGAAAATACTGGCTCACGCAAATAAATACCAACATAATTTAATATTTGCCCTTGCGCTTTATTTATCGTCATTGCAAAACACAAGCGTATTGGAAATTGAGTTCTTTTAAATGGGATTGGTAGCTTCTCATCATCTGAAGATAACAATGGTATTCTGGGAATAAATACATGCGTATCTTTAAAATCACCACTCGCAATTTTAGCACTTATAACACGACTCTTAAAATTACAGCATATCAGTCGTGTACCATTGCATAAACCCTCACAAGGATTTAAATTTCGCAGCAACATAACAGGACAATTTTCCTTCAAGATTAATTTGTAAGGAGGCAAACCAACAGGGTTCAATGAATGTAAAAAACCCTCAAACTGGCTCTGATCATTTGGTTCAACAGTTTCATCCATTGCAATAAATGTTTTAGCTTCTTTAGGGAATTGAGCTATAAGTCTATCATTTATTTCATCAACAAAGTCATTTTTTGTTGTCAAAATAACGCGCGAAGTTAAAAAAGAAGAATTGTGAAGAGACATGTGCAAATTAGGATATATTATGTTGAATAAAAGATCCAAAGATTCTTTTTCAGTAATATAAGGAACAATGAAAGACTTTGGAATTTCTATTTTATTATCCATGTTTGTTTTTTCTTTTCCATTTCCAATTCGCATAAAATATTCACAAAAAGAGGGATCAGTTTTGGCACGCATATTCTCTGATAACTGCAATTTTTCAAGTTCGTTCCATATTTCAGAGTTCAATATGCTTTATCGAATGAAATCTTCCTTTTTCCACTTCGAACCACAGGAAGAGTTTGTCTAAAATCTCCTCCAAACACAACAACTTTTCTGCCGAAAAGCACATTTGTGTTCATTATATCTTTCAATAGAGAATCTAAAGCTTCAATCATGTTCTTTTTTGCCATTGATACTTTATCCCACACAATCAATTTTGCATCACAAATCAAAGATGCCAATGAGCTTTGCTTGCTAATATTGCAAGAAAAGTTTTCATCGATATTAATCGGAAATTTAAAATGTGAATGAACTGTTCGTCCTCCTGGAAGAATCGAAGCTGCAACTCCAGAAGTTGCTGTTGCTAATGCTACAAATCCTTTAGATCTCACAGTTGCTAATAAGGCACAGTATAAAAATGTCTTACCACTTCCTCCAGGACCATCAATGAAAAATGCTCCTGATTCATTGACAAATACTCTTTGCAAGATTATGTCGTATGCTATTTTTTGTTATGTATTTAATTTTCTATGTAACAACAAATCTTCGTTACCCACAATGATGTTTCTTTCGAAATATGCTTCCTTCGCTTTGTTTGCCATTTTCGAAGATGTAATATTTTCTGAAACAAGATTGAATTCATTAATATCACGACCCATAGAATGTAGTATATCATTGATGTGATTCAGAACAGCGAGGTGGATATCTTTTGCTGTTATATTGGCTAGGATTTTAAAATCTTCGGACATTGAATCTTCAAACTGTTCCCGTAGTTCTCTTGGATTGTCAGGGCTACAGTATACTAATATTGTAGCAAATAAACGTCTTAAACTATAAGGCATTTGATAACATGCAGCCTCTAACATACATTCAATCAAGTTGTTATCACAATGTAACAACCCTCTTTTTTCTGCAGATTCTCTAAATGTGTCGCAACATATTTCATTTACTGTTAGAAGATCTTTGTATGATTTTGGTGCTCTCACATTCATTAGTAATAATCTAAGGTAATATCTTTCTCCCTCTGTTGGATGACATGTTACAACCCGGCCAATAACGTGACCTTGTTGTCGTCGAGTCCACATTTTATAGCTAGATGACTATACGAAGTGTTGTGAAAAATCTTTATACAATAATTTAAGCTCTTTAGCATGTTTGTTTGTTTCATTCATCAAAAAGAATTCTGTCAGCATCGTCTTCTTGATCATAGGATTTTTCACGATACTATCTATTGTGTCGGGTTTTTTAAAAGAAACAAATTGTAGTCCGTCAAGATGTAATAGGAGGTGGTAAACACTCGGAGTCATTTCACTAATAGAAAATGCAAATAAGCGCCACATAGCTTCTGGAGGTGACACCCATCTATCAGATTGATACTCTTTTATCTCATCTATTTGTATATTTGTATTATCTTCGTTTAAGCCAAATGATATCTTATCATGTCCTTTACAGATATATTTGTATATATATTTCACAACTTTAATATCGGAGCAAACTTCTACATTTATATGGCAATTGTATTTACATAGAAGATAGGGGTTGTAAGGAACAACCCATGAGTTATCAAGAAATTGTTTTCTAACTTTCACAAATTTACCAATATTTCGTCTTCTATAAATTGGGTATGAGTTCTTTCCTTTCGTCGTCTCATCAGCGAAACTCTTGGGGTACTTAAATTTGCACTCATTTCTTTTCATACATAAATTTGTGGGATTTAAATGACCACAAGGCCCATGCATCATGTGTTTAACGACAAGCTTATGTAAGTATGAGTATGTATCAGGGTCAGGCAACTTAGCACAAACAAATTTGTCATAAGCCTCGGGCATTAATAATTTGTAGTCATCAGTAAGTATAACAAGAAAATGGGCATGTGGAAGACCGCGTTTTTGAAATTCTATATTGTACATAAAGGCGGCAACTTTTCCAAATATGATTCTTTTTAATATATCTGTTTTCATCTCTTCTACCTTTGCTCTGAATACTCAACTAATTAAATCAGGCCTATTTTGAGTTCCGTCTGTTGGGAGCAAATGTTCCTTTATTTCAAGCCAAGAGGGATTACATGTTATGATCAGAAATATATCAGGCTTTCCAAAATGTTGTACTAACGCAATAACATCCATATAACGTTGACGCATATCTCTCGGACCACCTGTAAAACTTGTTGGAAGAAAGTTTTGTTTTCCTATCTTAGAAGCTTCTCTTTCGCCAAGTCTCAAGATATCTAAAAGTCCTTGTAGTACATCAATCCGAAATAAATCTTGGTTAAATGAGGCAAAATCTAATCTTTGAGTTTCTACTTTGATGAATTCATCAACTGAATATTGTTGAAATAATCTACCAGAATGTAAAACTCCGTTTTCCTCATTGTCTCTCATCTGGAGTTTGTAACAGTAGTATTCACGACAAGAAACATTATTTCTTTTTCGTTTCCCCTTTTGCAGAACATACGCTTCCATATCAAGTAGTCCATCAATTGAACACATGTTAGAGACACTCGGAAGCTGCTCAATCTCATAGTAAGCTCACTTTCTCAATTTATTTCTAGGTTGTACGATTTTTGGAATACCGCAATGTCAGCCGTTTTGACCATAAGGAAATAAAAGTGGATATTGCAAAGGATCATAGCAACCATAATAGTAATTTACTAATTGGCTTTTGTTACTGTGAGTATAAATTCGAATATGGGGTGTAAAACTATTATTGCTCATTTCTTGTTCTAGCCATAATGCTGCTACTTATGACACAGTTGGCAGGTTATATACTCGTTGATCTAAGCCAGAGCCACATCTCAATGCAATATAAAAGTTTGATAATTCTGGAATATGTATTAGAGATTTCAAGAAGATACAATAAGGATTTATCTTTAGTATGTTCATTAGCTTCTGAACAATTGATTGTCGAAGTATATCCGACGAAGCCATTCGGTTTAATATTTCTGCATTCTCATCATAAAAATACAACTGTAAATTTCTTGGTCGCCGATTTTGTTGGAATTAAATCATTTATAAAGTGATACATTTGACCTTGTACTCTAAATGTATAAATTCCTTGGTTTCTTTTTGCTAGTACTTTGTCATAGTGCACCCCAAGGGAAGTAAATGCAAATATATTGTTGTATAATCTAAGGTAGGTACGGAAGTGTTCAGATTCTTCGGTATTGCCTAAATATAAATTCAAGAGTTCATTAGGCATTTCATGTGACGTCAACTTAACTAAACCATTGCTACAACAAAATGTCGGCGGCTCATATTCAAATCTTTTTGCTCCACAATATTTACAATCTGGTACAGTTTTTAAAATGGTTGCATCAGTGGGTAGTTCTCTAATGTTCCAGTTCCAACTTGTTATTTTTGATTTAGAACCTGTGTATATTAGTTGCAACAATATATCCTATTAGTGTTGAGAAGAGAGAGGCAGCAGGTGGTGTTATAAGATTAAATTGAGATAAACCTAGATTAAATTGAGACAAACCTTTGTTTATGACAATAAATGTCTCTACATGATGTCGGTCACAGGGTGCACCAGAGGTCGAACCTAACATACAAATAATTCTAATTAATATATTAAAAGGGAGTACAGTCAAGCTACAAAAAAAACATATTTTCACTCACTTACCAATATTTTTTCCTTTGTGACAATCAACTACTGCCCCCACAGCTGAAGATATACCTGCTAATATGGAAATCTAAATATGTTTAGTAAGAGCAAATTGTATTTAAGTACAATCACGACGAAGAACACATATATACATTGTTAGCGAAAACGTAAAAGAAAGAACACAAGATTTAACGTGGTTCGAATCAAAATAATCCTACGTCCACCA